TCACCCTGCCCCCCAAGCAGTGAGCCCCCGCTCCAGGGCCGGATGGGCAGCGTGTATGACACAGAACAGACACAGTGTGCGAGGGGCGTTAGTGAGTGGATGGGATGGATGGTTACTGGTCACTACGGCGCCGGCGACAGGGCATGGATGGGATGAGGGGACCCAGACTGAATGAGCAGGCGGGAGTGTCTGGGGTGCCGCCGGCCGGCCTCGCACATTCCTTGCACACTCAACTGCCAGGACGACACGCACACCTGGCCCCACAGCTCTCTCCCCGAGCCTTACACACACGGATCTCTGCACACGTCCGCCCTTCTCGCACGCACACTCCCGATCCTCACACACACGGATCTCCGCACACGTCCGTCCTCCTTGCATGCACACTCCCAATCCTCACACACACACGGATCTCTGCACAAGTCCGTCCTCCTCACACAGATCTCTGCACACGTCCGTCCTCCACACATGCACACTCCCAATCCCCACACACACACGGATCTCTGCACACGTCCGCCCTCCTCGCACACACATGGATCTCTGCACACGTCCGCCCTCCTCGCACACATACTCCCAATCCTCACAAACACACAGATCTCTGCAAACATCCGCCTTCCCCGCACGCACACTCCTGATACACACACCTCCCAGATCTCTGCTTTCCCAGGATTCCTTGCACGCTCACAAAGGCAGTATTTTAACTCACACTCACACCCGGCCTGTCACTTTTGTGCCCCTGCACACGCTAACACCCCGTTCCTCCCAGACAGACCTGGCTCCAGACATGCTCCTGAAACCCCACACTCACACCCAAGCACGTCCGCCCTGGCCGGCCGGCAGAGCAGATGGCGGCATGCCTGCTCGCGCCACGAACCTTGGATGGTGGCCAGCGGGTTGGTGGCCATTAGCGCCGGGTTTAACCCCGCGTTCACCCCTAGCACTGTGCTTCTGAAAATCAAACCAGACGCAGGAGGTTAGGCCGGGGAACCCCCCCAACACCCTCCCCATGGCACTGGCCCTCCGTGGCCAGGGGGCACAAGCACCCCACATCACTGGTTAGAGGCGCGTACGCCACACGCCCTGGCTCCAGGCCCCTCGGCGAGGGTGCCACCCCCCCACCCATGGCACCAGATGCACCTGCCCCCTTAGGGGCGGAGTTACCGTGCCAACCTGGGGCAGTGTCATCCCTCCCACCCCCTTCAGTCCCTGTCACGGCCCCCCACCGCTTACCCCGTGCTGGGATTCAGGCCCGACAGGCCGATGGCCGCGTGGCTGCTGCTCTGGGGGCTGGGGTTGGTGCTGTTGGTGGGGGGCGGCGTGGCGGAATTGATGGCGGGGGGTCCCCCGCCCGCCCCCGTCCGGCTGGGGGTCAGGGAGCCGACCGCCGAGGATAAGGTAGTCACTGCAAGAGAGAAGTGGGGGCGGACGGGGGGCGGGGATCAGGAGAGGGAGCGGCTCATCCCCACGGTCCTTGTTTGTATAGGCCCTGTGCAAACACAGCGCCTTGGTCTGCCCCCCCTTAGCGGAGTTTAGGTAGGTCCTATGTAAACACTGGCCTTCAAGTACTCATTCAATCTACTCCCTGTTGACAGTGCCTCCGCTGGCTCAGTCTCCCCCCATTGAACCGGCCCCATTTCTCTAGGTCCTACGTAAATAAAGTGCCTCAGTCTCACTCTGCTGGCTGAGCAGGGTCCTGTTTGTGCAGGTCCTGTGTAAACAAGGGGGAAGGACGCACCTGTTGTGCTCAGACTGCTGGAAGCCTGGGAGAGCGGGAGACTCACGCCGGGGCCCGGACTCGTCACCTGGGCAGAGAGAGACGGAGCGTCGGGGTCACGAGGCGCCCACCTCTGGGGTGAGTTGTGGGGAACTCCCCATGTGCAGGGTCGGTACATACCATGGGAGAGCTGTACGGGGGGGGGGGGGGTGCGTACTATGTGGCTGCTGTGCGGGGGTACATACCGGGATCATACCATGTGGGGGCTGTACAGAGAGGGTAGTTCATACCATGTGGGGATAGTACCATGGGGGGAGGAACATACCATATGGGGACTGTAGGGGGGGTACGTACCATTTGGGGCCCATGGGGGGGG